TCGTTTTTCCCATCACAGTATTCCGGTAGATCACATATACCACCCAAGTCTCTGCAAAGCACTCCAGGGGCAGCATATTTACACTCACGGCAGCAAAGTCCTGTATTGCAAACACTGCCAAGAGAAAGGATACAAGAGGTCTCACAACATCTATCATTGGCACAATCTTTAAGGGAGCCACAGTCACATTCTTCCCTCTGATTTTTGATCTTGTCTCCACAACGATCAGCTACATAAGGAAAATTAGTGTATGGAGCATTTGGATCACTCAAACAAGGATCCCACATATTCAACCTGTTTTGCATCCGCTCATAAGAACAATTGCTCATCATATCATTAAGATCAGGAACAGGAGCCATGAGACAGTTGGTTCGTCGAAAACAATAACAACCTGCAGAATCATGTGTCAAGCCCATGTTATGACCTAGTGTATGCGCTGTTAAACATGCCCCCTTAAATAAGTGATACCTCATTAAATACACAAACATTGCTCCCCAGTTGGGGTTGCATATTCCATCAAAGCTGGTATAACAGTCCCGTTTTTCAAGTCGATATGCTGTAAAAACAACTGAGGTATCATGTGCAATTGTTGGATAAACTTTACGGTATTTCCACAAACCAAACAATTCTACAGCAGTTTGGCCCGGCCTCCCATAAAATTTTACTGCATCCTTTTGATTCCATATGAACAAAACACGTACATAAACATTTAAATAAACTGGTTTGAAAATGGTATGTATGATACCGTTAATAATCACTACATTCTCTATTATGTGTGACACATTAGGGTTCCGCTTGAATAATCCATTAGTAACCGTGTAGTGAATTTTCAAGTTTTTTCTATGATGCCTCCACAAATAAACGTGGCCTGCTCTGGGAGTTTCAGCCAGTTTTACCTTTTCAGATTCTTGATCTCTCTCTTCCCCTTCAGTCTTACATCTACTAGCCTCTCCTGGTCTTTCTTCTGACACAAGCAGGGATACTACATGCTCAAATTTGGAAGAAGCCTCCAGGGGTTTGATTTCATAAGTCAAGTCATCCACCTGCAGCATGCCACGCAGCCCTCCATGGCAGGTGTCCAATGTGGCCACAGACCCAGGAACCCCTTCCAGGTAGCAGTCATAGTAACAGTCTCGCGGGACAAAAGGGTAGTTCTCCTGCATGGCCCCCTGGTCATTATCAGTAAAAACAGGTAAATGTCTGGGCATCATGTTCTTCTTGAGCTTCATGTGAATCACGTGCCTTCGGCCCTGGAAACGCATGCTGTAAGAGAGTTGGTCTGGCATCTCAACTCCACGCCTCCTGTGGGGCACTTTCCTGGGGATTACAATTTCTGAGGAGGTAAAGCGCCATCCTGGTGGGTCATGAAAACAATAGACCTGGGACAAGAGTGCCCAGAGGACAGGCAGCCAGAGAGCACCTGTCAAGGGGTCCTGGACCCAGGCAGGTCCCATGAATAAGGGAACTTTTGACCAAAGAAAATGCAATCAAATGGGAGGCACAAAGAGGATTCTTCAGTGTTCAGCCTTCTCCTCAGGGCAGTTATGATGAAAGCAGAGTGAGTCTGCAGGCTTGGCACCCCCTGATAGGTGAGTGGGAAGGGTTAGGCTATTACATAACAATGGTGTGCTCATCAGGGGAGGCTGTTTTCAGTGAGCTGGAGAGGTAGACCAGGGGGTCAAAGGAAGAGGAAAAAAATGGCAGGAATTGAGAATAGCAGTGTGTAACTGAGCTGAAATGTCCCTTGTCCTCTAAGGGAAGTCATAAGTGGAGTTTGATGAGTAAGTGTGTTTGATGCAAGTTTAGGACACTTAAGGACATTTTTCTCAAGCCTAAATGAGGGAAGGTCTCAACCTGTAATTAAAAGAGGGAAGCGTAATCAATAAGGAAAGTAGAAACTTTTCCTTGAAAGAATTTTGAGGATAGACTTAGAGATTAGAGAAATCAAATGGAGTTGAGGGTAATGGATGAACTGGAGAGTAAAATGTCATGAGAAAAATTAGGGTGTGTAACTATAATTTATCAAGTTAAACATATACCTACACTATGATCCAGCAATTTCAGTCCTAGGAACTTACCACATAGTCTTGTCTATGAATGTTCATAGCAGCATTATTCATAAATGTATTCTACAATCTGGAAACCAAGAACTTGTCCTTGATAGGTGACTAGATAAACACACTGATATATTCATTCCTTGAAATACTCCTCTGTTATAACACGAACAAACTTCTGAAACATGCAAGATCAAGGTTGAATTTCAAAGAAATTATGAGACAAGCCAGACCAAATGGAGTAGTTAATGTATGATTTAATTTGTATGAAGTTCTAGGATACTTCAAATTAATCTATGGAAATAGAAATGTAATTATTAGTTTCTAGATGTATGAGCAGGGGAATGCGGCATAAAGAGACCTTTCTGGAAAAATGTAAAGTATCAGTCAAATATATTGATTGCAATGGTGATTTCAAGTAAAAGCTCATCAAGCTGCACCCTTAAAATCTGTGTGTTTTATCATAAGCTAAGGATACCTCAAGAGTTAATTTTCTATAAAGGATTTGACTTCCACTTCTTTCTGACTCAATCCAGAATTAGCACATCATGAAATTATCTTAGAAACCATCTCCCTTTCCTTTTCAAAAATAGTTTTAACATAGAATTGCATGAAAACAGACTCAATTTGGTATAAGGAAGTTACCTAAAGCAGTTTACCTCATTTATTTTTCTCCTCTTATGAATCATACCTTTTAGCTGGGAGGATTTATACAAAGTAATATTTAGAAAAGAAGAATATATTAATATTTAAATGTGTTGTGTGCAACATTGAAAGATTTGTTTTAAATTCAGTGCAGTCAGAAATATTTTAAAAGTACAAGAATGAGTTGATCTCAGCCTGAAATAAACTGGTCGCAATAAAAAAAACTAATTTCTAAGAAGAAAGTAATGTAGTAGAAGTAGAAAGAGGAATAAAAGTAATTGTAATGGTAAGAATTATAAAATGTACTAATTTATACATTATAGGTATATTAATAATTATTGAAAAATAGGAACAGATAAAAAGGGTTGGGCCCTTTGGGGAGCAGTAATAGCTAGTTATCCATTTATTATTTGATGTGATGGGAAATTTTGACTGGAATCTGTAAGAGGGGGGATGACATGAGGGAAGTCATATTAGAAAGATAATTAGGCTGCTTTTTATATTCAGGTACTGTTTTCACCAAACTGTCAAACCATTTTTGTCCTCTGCTCTCACACTGCAACAACAATCAACACTAAAGAAGACTTCTGTGAGCAAAAGTGTTTTTGTTTTTTTTTTCACACACAACAAGCAGCAGATACCAGCTATGTGTCCTTCAAATGAATTCTGACACCATCTACCTGGGTATAGTGTCAGATCCCCCAGGTTGGACGTCCAGTCACCAGCTTCAGCTACCAGTCACACGTGTAGGCCTCCAGAACTTCTGATCAACAAGTTCCAATTTGGGGTTCCCATGACTCCTTTTTGGAGTTTGGTTAATTTGTTGGAATGGAACTCAGGAAAACACTTATGCTTACCCAGTTATTATAAAGGGTATTATATAGGATATGGAAGAAGAGATGCATAGGGTGACATATGGTGCAAGGGGCACAGAGCTTCCATGCCCTCCTTGTGCACAATCGTCAAGGAGCCCCCACATGTTCAGCTATCCAGAAGCTCTCTGAACCCTACCATTTTGAGTTTTTGTGGAGGCTTCATTACATAGGCATGATTGAGAACCATGTAAAAATGTGATTGGAAAAAGTACATGATCTAAACCCAGCAAGGCCTGTCTGTTCAGTCTTGGCCTCTGTGTTTACCATTCTTTCTTTAGGATATTGGGCAGGACCCCCTCTGGAATGAGGGTCTTCTGCCCCATAATCAGATTAGTCCTGCCTTGGGTAGGTGAAAAAGGACAGGAAAGGGTCAGAGAAAGAGAGGGATTCTGTTTCTTCAGATCTGTTTCTGAGGCCTAAAGCACTCCAACATTAATTATAACAAAACTGTAACAAGGTTGTGGGCATTGTAAGCTAGGGACTATGGATGAAAACCTGTGTGTGTGTGTGTGTGTGTATTCATAATATCACAGATACTGAAAAGATACACCAGGAAACCCCCCAGTCACAATGTTGTATAAATTAGCAGACTATTTCAATGATGTGAAGAGGACTGTTTGGGGGTACAGACAAATTCTAGAAATGAGTTACGTTTGAGTAATCGTGTGTGTGTGTGTGTGTTGTGTTTAGTCTTCTAAAAATCTTGAATTTAGTTCTCTCTTTGTGTGTCTCATCTGGCTTTTCATGAATTAGTATGTATTATTTTTGAAATCACAGATGTTTTAAAAAGTTTTAAGTGAGAGTGAGATCAGTAAAGTATCAGGCTAGAAAACTGCAAGCTCTCCTTCCCCCATAGAAACATTGAAAAGGAAAAAACCTTCAGATGGAGGAAAAGAGGAGGATGGGAGAAGTTGGTATATGGGTATGAAGTTACAATTAGAAGGAGTAAATTCTGGTGTTCTATTGCACAGTATAGGGACTATGGTTGACATTAAAATATTGTATATTACAAAATAGCTCTTCAAAAGAGAGGCTTTTGAAGGTTCTCACCTCAAGGAATGTAAATGCATGAGGTGATACGTACATTGACTACCCAGATTGGATCATCATACAACATAGATATGTATCAAAACTTTAAATTGTACCCCATATATATAAATAATTACAACAGTTCAATTAAATAAATAAATAACTTTTTAAAAGAACTTTAAAACATCTGGAGTGCAGATATCTCTCCTTCATTGCTGGTGGGAATGCAAAACAATACAGCCAATTTGGAAGGCATTTTGGCAGTTTCTTACAAAGCTAAACACTGTCTTACCATATAATCCAGTTATCACACTCCTAGGTATTTACACAATGTATTGAAAAACTTAATTTGTGTACATATAGCTATAGCCAATTTACTCATAAATTGATAAAAATTGAAAGCAACAAAGATATTCTTCAATAGGTGAATGAGTAAACAAACTGCAGTACATACATACATACATACATACATACAATGGAATATTATTCTGTCATAAATTCAAGCCAGAAAGAGGCATGGAAGAAGTAAATGCATAATACTCAATAAAGGAAACCAGTTTGTAAAGCCGACATACTTCTATGTTTCCAACGTTGTAAAAGGCGGTACTATAGAGATCAAAACTATCAGTGGCTTCCAGAGTTGGGGGCGGGAATGAATAGCCGGCACACAGGGGATTTTTATGGAGTGAAACTATTCTGTATTATGCTGCAATGGTGGGTACATGACATGTGTTTTACAAATCCATAGAAATGTACAACACAAACGGTAAACCTCAGTGTAAACTATGAGTTGAGTTAGTAACAATGTATTGATATTGATTCATCAATCGTATCAACAGTACCTACCAATGCAAGATGTTAATAATAGGGAAGAATGTGAGTAGGGGAGACAGGAAGTAAATGGAAGCTTCCTGTACTTTCTATTCAGTTTTTCTGTAAGCCTAACAATGCTCCAAAAATGAAGTATATTAATTTAAAAAATTTAAAAATAACCCAATGTGAAAGCAGGAGCAGAGGTGGAGCAATATGGTAGAACAGAAGGCTCTACCAATTGTTACCCCTACAAGAACACCAATTTAACAACTATCTACCAAAGAACCAAAATTCACGAGAGCACTCCTAGTACCTGGTTTTATCTTCATATCACTTTGTATCCCTGAAAGAGGGACCGAAGAAACAGAAGAGAACAGTCTTGAATTCCTGACACCACCACTCCTGCCCCAGGCAACTGTAGTGGGGTGCAGAAAGCATCTCTGGATGCTGGGGGAGAGAGAGCACAGCAATTGGAGGGATTAAACTCAGTGATGTCCTGTTAGAGCAGAAAGGAAAATCGGACTGAACTCAGCTGACACTTGCCCACACAGGTAGCATTTAAATAAGCCCTAGCCAGAGGGGAATTGCTAGTCCCAGCAGTCTGTACTTGAGTACCTGCAAACCTCACCACTGAGGGCTACAGTGCTGTATGTCTCTAAGTAAACTTGAAAGGCAGTATAGGCTATAAGGACTGCAACTCTAAGACAAGTCCTAGTGCTGAACTAGGCCCAGAGACAGGGGACTGGGTTAGGGGGGCGGGGAGGCACCTGACCAACTGAGACACCAGCCAGGGTGGCTAACGGAGTACTGGCATCACTCCTCCTCTAAAACCAGACTTCACAGCTTGCAAGAGACTTGGTTGTCCTTCCTTCTACTTGAGGAGACGAGTGGGAAGAGTGGGGAGGACTTGTTTTGCAACTTGGATATCAGCTCAGCTACAGCAGGATAGGGCACTGGCCAGAGTCATGAGGCCCCTGTTCAGGCCCTAGCTCTTGGACAACATTTCTAGACACATCCTGGGCCAGAAGAAAACCTGCTGCCTTGAAGAAAAGGGCTCAGACATGGAAGCATTCATCACCTGCTAACTAAAGAGCCCTTAAGCCCTGAATAACCAGCAGCAATACCCAGGTACTATGTCAAGGACCTTGGGTAAGCCTCTGAGACTTGCCGGCTTCAGGTGAGACAGCACATTACCAGTTGTAGTGCCTACTGGGAGAAATTCCTTCTGCTTGAAAAAAGCAGAGGGAAAAGTAAAGGAGACTTTGTCTTCTACCTTATGTATCAGCATGGCCACAGAGAAGTAGAGTACCAAGTGGGCTCTTGGGGTCCTTGATTCCAGGACTGGACTCTTGGATGGCATTTCTGGACCTGCCCTGGGCTGTAAGGGTGCCCACTGAAGGGCAAGTCCCAGGCCAGGCAGTATTCACCACAGCTGACTTAAGAGACCTTGAGCCTTTAGAGACAATTACCAGTAGTCTGGCAGTACTCCTTGTGGCATGTGGTAGTGGTGGCTATGGAGTGAGGCTCCTCTGCCTTTGAAAAGGGGAGAGAACAGTGAAAAAGATTGCATCTTGTGGTTTGAGTGCCAGCTCAGCTGCAGTAAAATAGAATACCAGGTAGGCTGCTAAAGCTTTCAACTCTAGTCCTCAACTCCCAGAGAGCATCTCTGGACCCACCTGGGGTTTTGAGGAACTTGCTTTCTTGAAGTAAA